CTCAAAACCTTGGCGCAAATTTCAGGCTGGGGGTCCAACATCGGCGTTGCCTTCGATGCCGCAGACAAGGCGGTCCCCGTGGTGAAGGAGGCCGCGGGTTTGGGGTTTAGGGTTTAGGGTTTAGGGTTTAGGGTTTAGGGTTTAGGGTTTAGGGTTTAGGGTTTAGGAACTTAAGTGAGGGTACCACTACAGCATGGTAGCTCATCAAGATACCCGTTCCCAAAAGCACCCTGTTCCCTTATGAACCCACAAGAACGCTAAATAGCTTCCCAAGATGGGACGTTGAGAACTGGCCCCACGCATCCATCTTTGACTTGTGATTTGGATTTTCGGGTTTAGGGTTTAGGGTTTAGGGCTGCTTTGGTCTTGCCGGGCTTAGTACGCAGGCCAGTGGCACCCTCTCCCCTGGTGATGGGTTCCCTTAAAAAGTAACTAACCCCAAAAAGGGTGTCCTTATAGAATATGGTTGCTGGGCTACTTAGCGGGGCATACTCCTCTCCATATTGACGAAGAGTCAAGATCTGCGGCAGTTAAAGCCTCTGAAGCCCCGAACCCCAAATCCCTAGCTCCAGAAATCCCTAGCTCCCCACATCCCGCAGTCCCAAACCCTAAGTCCTAAATCCCTCAGTCTGCTAACTTTCATAAATCGGGGTTTTGGGTTGCAATTAAGCAACGGCCTCGGTAATTAAGGAAAAACTCCTGGTGATTTAGATATTTTAGTTCATTTTGTATATTGATGCAAAATGAAGCCTTGGAAAAAAAGGCCTGAGTAAAACAAACTCCAAACCCCAGGCCCCAGGCTCCAAATGACCCAATCAGCTCGCTTGTCTGAGCTCGTCTGACACTACAACTTGCATGCACACACACACACAACACACACTGGGCGCTCATTTCTTCTCACCTGGCGTCGTCTTCTGGCGTGAGCGTGAGGTGACAAAGCAGCCCCTCGTCCCTACCCCGGAAACTCCAAAGAAGAAAGAAGACTTGAAAGTGTGGCAGGCGGAGAGGGTTTTTAGGGCATAACTTAAGAATTAACTTAAGAGCCCTAAAATGCACAACCCTAAAACCCGAAACCGCCTGAAGAAGTAAGCAGAGATAGCGGGAAGCTTACTGCTCACCCCCCCCCCTCGGTAGCTAAGGCTTAATTGCTGACCCCCCCCCTCGGTAATTAAGGCTTAATTGCTGAACCCCCCCCCACCCCCCACGGTCATTAAGGATAGTTCAGCCGAGCTTAGTTGCAGAGGGGGGGTCTGCAATTAAGGTTTTTGCAGCAGTTTTCGTGCCAAAACTGCCCGAAACAGAGTGATTTTCATGGTTTTGGCAGGGATTTGGACCCAAAAAGCGCTGCAAAAGCCTTAATTGCAGACCCCCCCTCTGCAATTAAGCTCGGCTGAGCTATCTTTAATGATCGTGTGGGGGGGGGGTCAGCAATTAAGCCTTAATTATGGAGGGCGGGTCAGCAATTAAGCCTCAATTCCGAAGGGAAATCATGCATTCATGAGGGCCGAGTGCGTCAAAAACAACCTTGATGGAGAAGCTGGCTGAGGCCCATCTAACAGATCATCAGATTACACAGACACACCACAGCGCCGAGTAAATCATCTGTAAGCACTTGCATGAAGCAGGGGAAGCCTGTTGGGGTTAAGATTTAGGGAAGTTGGGGGTGACACCGTCACGCAACTCACATAGTGTCACGTGCCATCTTTTTCGATTCAGGGTTTTCACTGCACGCCGTGCCTGCTATCTTGCTCACGATGTCTCAGATGTCTCATGGTTTTTCATTTGCTGCTGTATCAGCCATGCAGCAGCTGCGTAAAACGAATGACAGAAACGCACAAACCCAGAGGCAACACACCAAATCTGCAGCCTGTCGAAAACATCGGCTTTTGCATTGCGGCAACCCCACCCAACGCTTAATCGCAGACCCCTCCTTAAACGCAGCGATTATGAAAGTTAGCACCTCAGTCCCTAGATAGTCGCAAACCCCAAATCCTTGAAGCCCCTACATTCTTAAATCCTTGAGAACCCGAAGCCTAGACCCCAACACTCCCGAAGCCCCTTACTGGCGATTTGTAGGGTCTCGGGTGGAGCCCTTATAAACCCTATACACCCCCATAAACCATACAAGCCCGCCCAGGTCTACGGCGGCCTCATGTCTCACTGGAACTCAACCTGCAGTCCAGAGCAGGAAGTCAAGGCGCGCAGATCTTCGTTTTATGGGGGGAGATGGGGTGGTTTAGGGTTTAGGGTTTAGGGTTTAGGGTTTAGGGTTTAGGGTTTAGGGTTTAGGGTTTAGGGTTTAGGGTGGTCAGCCTGTCGTCCGGGTCTGGGACTTAGGGATTTCGGGCTCAAGGGTTCAGAGTTTAGGATTTCAGGTTTCAGGCTGATAAGCCCTGAGCCCTGAGCCTGAGCCCTACAAACAAGAGGGGATGAGAGTTGATGGTTTGTGGGTTTAGGGCCGTTTAGGGTGTAGGGTTTAAGGTTTGGGGTTGGGGGTTCAGGGCCGTGTGGGGTTTAGTGTTTAGGGTTTTGGTTCTCAACGACCTCACTATGGAGGGTTCCGAGGCTTCAGGATTTCCGAACTTAGGCATAGCGAGGCGAGGACCCGGAGAATAGGCCATTATTTCTTTTTTTTGGGGGTTGGGGTTCCCTTATACGCTCGTAAAACCCAAAAGGGTGCCCTTTTTATTCCTAGGTTACCTCTGGGTCTAGATAAGGAGAAGGCTTCGAATCTTCTGCTGGGTCGCTTCTGTTAAAACTTAAAACTGCAACAACCCCAATCTCGACAGAAGGTAAGTTATATGCGTTCCATACCATGGTGGCTCAGCGCGAGTTCCTCAAGAGGCAACTCGCTGACTGCCCTAAACCCTAAACCCCAAACCCCAAACCCTAAACCCTAAACCCTAAACCCTAAACCCTAAACCGCCCCGTTGTGGTGGGCAGGCCTTCGACTGCCTCGTTGAAATCGATGGCGAGGCGCGCACACTCCGAAGCCCTGAGCCCTTAGCCCCTCCTCTACACTAGTAGGGTTTAGGGTTTAGGGCTACTAGGGTTTAGGGCTACTAGGGTTTAGGGCTTAGGGTTCAGGGCTTGGGGTTTATAAGCAGCTTTCTCTCCAACCTCCGACACCCTGAGCGCTAACTGCTCACAGCCGTGCCTAGGCTTATGAATGATCCCAAGATGTTTTGGGGCTTGCATTCACGATAAGATTTGGGTTTAGGGTTCACGGTTCAGGGTTTAGGGCTCAGGGTTTAGGGCTCACGAACAGACCCCAAACCCTGAACCCCAAACCCATCGTTGCCCATGAATCTCTCTTGAAAAATTCCCAAGTGCGTGACTCAGGTGTGCAGTCTAGAACTTGAAGGGTCATGGGTACTGGTACTCACAAGTAGGCCTATTATAAGTACCTTACATAAGGTAGTTACAACCTTCATTACCCTACTTATAGCTGACTTATCAGCACACCATAGGCCAAGACCCTGTTGATTGCTACCAAGAGTATTCAAAGCAAGTTCGGGATTGCAACCCGCACAGCCGTGCTGACCCCGAAACTCGAAACCCGAAACCCGAAACCCGAAACCCTAAACCCGAAACCCTAAACCTTAAACCCTAAACCCTAAACCCTAAACCCCGGAGGCGGGGAGCAAGACGGAGCTCTTCAGCAGGCTCACGCAGAAGAAGGAGAGAAGGGGCCTCTGGGCATCCTTTCCCCTAAGCCCTCAAGCCCGTTGAACCTTAGGGTTTAGGGTTTAGGGTTTAGGTTTTTTAGGCTTCGCCCTACCAAGCACAATCTTTCCTGCGTACTTCGTAGAAATGGTGACCCCCCCCCAAAAAAAAGCAGCCTCCTTGCAGACACAACTCTTCTGCTCGCTTCCATGCACCTGTGCGCAAGTCCTACACACCGAAAGCCTTGTAAATACCGATAGAATCGTAATCGTTTCGTTTACGTGCAACGGCGTTATAGAACAGGTCATACAAAAAATGTTTACATAAATCTGCCGCCGGACTTCGGAAAACAGAAACATGAACTGAAATGCTCCGAAAGGCAAAAACCCGGAAGTATGACAGTTTTGCCGTTGCCACCTTCAACAACCTCGTGTTTTATTATGTGTTTTTACTGGTGTTCTTGCCATGAAGACAACATCCTAAATTCTGTGCGTACAGCTATCTTTCTCTCATACAACTACTCCTACAATTCCTACTAATTTCTGACCAGTTCAGTATTAGGTTATGCGGTACAATATGTCCGCTGCGTTTTGCAGGGTTTTTGCAGAATCCAAGTCTTGCTTCTCGGGGGGTTGCGGCCCAATTACTGTCCTTGATTGCTCACTCAAAAAATGCTGGAGAGAGGAGGTAATTCTACATCGACAAAACCAGTCTGTACTGAGTGTCTAGATTTCTATGCAATGAATATTGCCTTGATGTGCTCATGTAATGGGTGCTTCTTTAGTTCTTGACTTGCATATTCGATCAATATGTTGCTTGGGAGAAGCACTCTTTCTCAAAAAAAGAAGAACGAGCTGCTTAGCAAAATTGCCTGATTTGCATCGAAAAGCCTGCGAATCCAAAAGTTCAAACTTCAACAGGGATTTAGGGTTTAGGGTTTAGGGTTTAGGTTTGTTTTAGGTGTTTAAATTTCCGCGTACAATGATCTTCACGAGTGTGTATTGTTAAGCTTGTCTAAGCGGACTGTGAGTTTTAGACTTAAACATAGCATGTAGAATGCAAGTGGAATTTGCTTAGTATGTCAGCCCTAAACCCTAGACCTTAAACCCTAAACCCTATGTACTGAAAGCTGCCTGTAATGTAATCAAAATTCAGTGCGCATGTGAGTTGTAAACAGGTCGTCGTCTTTGTCGGCTGAGGATCCCCTCCCCTGAGTATTGCCAGCATTCAGCACTTTCACTAGCAGGGTTGAGGGCTAGAGTTCCTAGTAATAGCCTAGACATACGTTTTACTTGAATCGTGGAGCTTCTGCTTCGTAGCTTCCAGACCACGCCATGCTGTACGTCTGGAGCATTTCCGGAGAAGAGCTGGCGGCAGTACCCGCGGGCGACACCTTGGAAAGCGTGATCCAACTGAAATGCCACTTGAGAAGCCGACATGACTTCCCAGTCTGCCTGCAACAGCTCCTACATGCTGGCTGCTGCTTAGAGGATCGTGCTTCTCTAGTTGGGCTCGTTGACCTGAACCTGGTGCTGCTATCCACCCTCAGCCCGGAGCAGATGTTTGAGGCTGAACGCGAGTTTCTTGACTATGCTGCCGATGCAGGCAATGTGGAAGTTGGCCGCTCTCTGCTGAAAGCTGGTGTCATACTGGTCTGGTCCTTTGCGACCGCGCTCATGCGCGCATCTTCAAAGGGCCACATCGAGTTTGAGCGCTTGCTAGTGGACACGGGTGCCCATCAGAACTTGCAGTACAAGATGCAGGACATGTCCAGTCTCGTGCTAGCCTCTTCAATGGGCTACGTCGAGATTGTATTCTTGCTGCTGGAAGCTGGTTGCGACAAGAACGTGCAGGACAAGTCCGGCCAGACGGCTCTCATGCGTGCATCGTTCCTATATCCCCCGTGGGATTTGTTTTAAAATATGTTGTTCAGAAAAGCCCCAAGGCATATTAAAAACTTTTTTGCTAAGGTTCTAAGGGGAGAATAGGTTCATGGGCCACACCGAGATTGCACGTTTGATGCTGGACGCTGGCGCTGACAAGAACCTGAAGGACAAGCGGGGAAGGACCAGTCTCATGCTTGCGTCTTCTAAGGGCCACGTTGAAATCGCACGCTTGCTTCTGGATGGCAATGTCGACAAGAACTTGCAGGACAGGTCCGGGGCGACCGCGCTCATGCACGCCTCTGCCATGGGCCACGTCGAGATTGTAGGTTTGTTGCTGAGCGCGGGTGCCGACAAGAACATGAAGGATGTCTATGGCGGAACCGCTCTTATGCACGCATCTTCTGAGGGCCACATCGAGATTGTACGTTTGCTGCTGGAAGCTGGTGTCGACAAGAACGTGAAGAACCGGCAGGACAGGTCCAGTCTCATGCTCGCATCTTCTCAGGGCCACGTCGAGATTGTGGATTTGTTGCAGAGCCTCGCTATCCTTGTGGTACCTTATGTTACCCTAAATCCTTAGCCCTAAACCCGTAACCCCTAAACCCTCATTAAACGATGGTCGCTGGGCTACCAGGAACGCAGGTGCCGACAAGAACTCGACGCATGGTCATGATGCACCCTCTCTCATGCACGCATCTTCCCATGGCCACGTCGAGATTGCACGCTTTCTGAGCAAGGTTGTTGAGGGTTGAGTTGTCTGTTTGAGTATCGTTAGTAATTCTTAGCTGTTAATAGCTACAGTCATCTGGGTGGTTCTCTGATTCCCTTTTGGCTCCCCTACATACTATTGCACGCTCATCAAACGCATCCCCCCCCTCCAATAACAAAAATGGGCACCCGAATTTAGCGAACCCACCCATATCAACAACAACGACAAGCCATGAATTAAAGCAGCTGGAAGCGCCCTGGATTGAGGGTTTAGGGCCCGGGCAGCCCACCGACGGGGGGTTGATCTTGCTGCCCAGACCTGGCCGGCGTTTTCAGATCTTTCCTGTGGGCGTTGGGGTGCGGGGTCTGTAGGAGTTCCTTAGTAGTAGGGTGGGGTGACCGTTTACTTTTTTGGGTTCTTATATTCCCTGTACAACCCCAAAGGTTAACCTTTGGTTTCCCTAGGATACTGGATGACTAAGGTTCGGGTTCAAGGCGTAGGGTTTCGGTGTATAGCGTTTATAGGGTTGCGATATTGTTTGTGTTGTTTGTTTTTTTTTGTTTTTGTTTCTCTTCTTTCTGGTTTAGGGTTTAGCGGTTGCTGTGGTTCAGGGTTCGTGGGAGTTCTTGGTAAACCCTGCACCCTCTTGCCTTTCACGCGGGGAGCTTTTTTTTACCCGTGTTTCACCGTAATTCGTCCTATGGTTTCACCGTAAGTCGTCGTTTTGCAGCCCATGCCTGCTGACGAACAAAATCAGCACCTTTTCTGTCCTGAGTCCTCCGCTACCCCTAAACCCTAAACCCTAAACCCTAAACCCTAAACCCTAAACCCTAAACCCTAAACCCTAAACCCTAAACCCTAAACCCTAAACCCTAAACTAGCAGAGAGCATCCTGGGAGGAGGCTGGTGAGGGCCATCTGGAGATGAAGTTCCGGCGCCCAAAGGCCAGGGGTTTAGGGTTTAGGGTTTAAGGTTTAGGGTTTAGGGTGAACCATTTTTGTGCGGTTCAGGGTGTTTAGGGGTTTAGGGTTTGGTGTTTGGGGTTCTAGAGTTTTGGGTTTAGGGCTTCTCCGGTTTAGGGTGTTTGGGGTTAGGTTTTGGGGATCAAAGACCGAAGAGCCCTGAACCTCTACACCCTGAACCTTCGGGTACCCTAATCCCTAGCTCCTAAACCCTAAACCCTAAACCCTAAACCCTAAACCCTAAACCCTAAACCCTAAACCCTAAACCCTAAACCCTAAACCCTCATCGGGTTCAACTTGCTACATGAAGGCAATGGCTCGCAAGCTCGGCACCATCTCTATGACCTTGAGGGTTTAGGGTTCAGGGTTTAGGGTTTAGGGTTTACTTAGTAGCAGAGTGAGCACACTTTACACTTTTTGGGAGACTAGAATACCCTATAGAACTGAAAGTGTACACTTTTTGGGGGCTTATGAGCTCAGCAAACTAAGTTAGGGTCAGAAGAGCAACCTACAGCAACGGAGGCATTGGGTTTTTAATGGGTCAGTATCTGTCTCCTACCAGGGCGATGGATCTCAAACCCCTTACTGAAGCTTTGCTGTGGCGGGGCCGAGGTAAGTTCGAAGCTTGAGCCTCAATCCCTAGTCCCTAAGCCCTAAACCCTAAACCCTAAACCCTGAGCCCTAAGCCCTAAACCCCAAGCCCTAAACCCTAAGCCCTAAGCCCTAAACCCTAAACCTAAGCACGGAAGCCAAACGACCTCAAGCCCCAAACGTTAACTCCCAAAAGTCAATGCCCTGAACCAGAATTCCTCTAACTCCCAAACCCTCAACCCTATAAAGATTTCGTTTTTAGGGTTTAGGGTCTATGAGAAAAACTACCTAAACCCTAAGCCCTGAAACCTGAACCCTGTACCCTGAACCCAAGCCCAAAGCAGGAGTTCAAAGTTCTGCTCCAACGAGCGCCGGGACCTGCCACACGTTGCACGGGGTGTAAGGGTTTAGGGTTAAGGGGTTAGAGTTTAGGGTTTAGGGTTTAGAGTTTAGGGTTTAGGGTTTAGGGTTTGGGTTCGTGTTTTCGGATGTGGCATGTAGAGCAGTGGCCCCAAAAGAAGGGTTTGTAGGGGCTCAGGCCTCAGGGTTGCTAGGTTTTAGGGTCTGCCTTTAGGGCTTCAGTACCGTTTTCAGTGTTTAGGGCTCAGGGTTTAGGGCCTGTTTAGGGTTTAGGGTTTAGGGTTTAGGGTTTAGGGTTTAGGATTTAGGGTTTAGGGTTTAGGGTTTTGGGGTTCAGGGCGCTGTCGGCGACTTCGGACATCCTGTCGCCGTGAAAACTGAGGAACCCGAAAATCTCCCCCAATGTGAGGGATTTGGGTTTAGGGTTTAGGGTTTAGGGTTTAGGGTTTAGGGTTTAGGGTTTAGGGTTTAGGGTTTAGGATACAAATGAGCAAGAAGAACGGGACAGTAACATGAATTGAACAGGAGAGCAAAGTGCCAAGGGCATCGTGTTGCTCACTTAACCCAAGTTTTTAGACTCGTTTCTCCAATTTTCATCAGACAGGTGCTTTAAGATTTTCCCAGGGTCAACAGGGGCTGGGATGTCGCAAGACTTCAACAAATTCAAAAAGAAATGGCTTATGCCAACCTTCAGGCAAGCTATCAGAAGATGACTGTCCACGTCTTGTTTGCTCGGGTGCCGCCTGCAGCGGCTCAAGGTTTCTATTTGGGGCTTAACCAGCCTTGAGGGCTTGGACTTCCCTAATCCTTAAACCCTAAACCCTAAAGCCTTAAAATCCTGAACCCTCAAAGCCATCTAACATCCCAAGGGCTGAGCCCCAAGCCCCAAGAGACCCTAAAGCCCTAAGTGCAGTTTTTGGGGTTTGGGGTTTAGGGTTTTGGGTTTAGGGCTCAGGGGGCTCGGGGGTGCAGGACAGCAGCTGGGCTTCACCATCAACTACTTCAAGAGCTCCATAAAGCTGGCGGTTGCAGGCCAGGTGAGGGTTTAGGGTTTAGGGCTTTGGGGTTTAGGGTTTAGGGTTTGGGGTTTGGGGTTAGGGTTTGGGGTTCAGGGGCTGGAGTGCAGGGGTTGGCGTTGAGGGGTTAGGGTTTAGGGCTTTGGGCCTTTTGTTTTTGCAGTTGTTTATGGCCAGGGCTTTAAGGTGTTAAGTTTACTGTTTTAGAATATAGGGTTAGGGGACTGTAGGTTTAAGATGCAGGGTTTAGGGCTCATGGTATCCTGGTGGCGATTGCAGGTCCTTGCCCGCCTTGTGCTTTCTTTGGGCCAGCCCTAAACCCTTAACCCCAAACCCCGAACCCTAAACCCTAAACCCTTTTCGGACAGCTTAGTGTCGATTGGCGACTACAGCTCAGGCGTTGGCATCCATCTGCATTCGGCCAGCTTTGTACACACCCTACCCACCCGAAGCCTTCAGATCTACAAGGCTCATATCTTCATAGGGGTCTACACCCTACGCCCTGAACCCTAAGCTTGACCCTAAGCCCTACACCGTGAACCCTACGCTAAGCCACTTCTCAGCTAGGGGGGTTCAAGTTAGAACCCCTCTCCCCAAAAGGTCTGAAACCCCCGCCAAATCTGAAACCCCCCCAGAAACCGCCCAAGCCTTACGCCTCAAGACCCGACAGCTCTAAGTTTGGGTTTTGGGGCCTATGGTTTAGGTTCTGGGCCTGGGGTTGGCACGGACCTGGAGTCAATCTGTTTCATTTTTTTTGGGTTTGGGGTTTCGGGTTTATGGTTTCGGGCTAGGGCCCATGCACCCGAAAACCCCACCTGGAGGTTCATGGATGCTTGTTAGTAGTGTTCTAAGTACAGGCTACCCCAAACTGCCCCAAACCTCTCTAAAACCTTAAACTAGACCCCCCCAATACCACAAAGTTCTCCCAAAAACACCCTTAACCCAAAACCCAAAACCCTAAACCCTAAACCCTAAACCCTAAACCCTAAACCCTAAACAGACCCTAAACCCTAAACCCTAAAGCCTAAACCCAGGCATTGATCCCGAGGGGCTTGTCCCAGACTGGAACGCAGCCCATCCGGAAGCGCAGGTCTCACTCCCTGCAGAGCATACTATAGTTACTCTAGCTACTATAGTTTAGGGTTTAGGGTTTAGGGTTAGGGTTTAGGGTTTAGGGTTTAGGGTTTTGGGTTTTGGGTTTTGGGTTTTGGGTTTTGGGTTTTGGGTTTTGGGTTTTGGGTTTTGGGGGTTATTATAGTAGAAGTATAAGGGACCATAAGGGAATAATATTAGTGAATTTTCCGACCCCTACATTGCTTGGAGGTTGTGTTGGGGTTGGGGGAGGGACCTTGGCACTGCCCACTCTTCTGAGCTCTCGGAACCCTGAACTGAAAA